TACAAGCCGGACCATGACAGGGCGGTCCTGACGATGGCAGTCTCACCGGCCGGTGGCTGTAGCTGCCTAGGAACTCGTCGAGACCACGGCCTACGGAACCTCTGCATAAAGCTTCGAATGCCCCGGGAAAAAGGGAACTGCCGAATCTTTAAGATCCTTAAGTTCATCCTGTACCAGCCTCTGCACTTCAGATTTTGTTGCGCTTGAGCCCATGTTACCGCGGTGGTGCAATTGCGTACTGCACAAAATCGTTACTTCGACGGGGATCATAATCTTGCAGCCCGTGTACCAACGAGCCGACACCACACGTACTGAAACAATAGGATGGTCACTTTGGCGAGCAGCCTAATTGTAACTACTGCTGTGCGGGTTGCTAACAACACTGCTCTGCGCTCCCCCGAAACCAGAGACTTTAAGCGCCACATTCCGCAGCGAGGCAAAAGTCTGTCTTGATGCGGGCCAGGTACTGGCGCGAGAACCTAGGTGCAGCTGAATAGATAGTCAGATAGTCGCTAGAAAATGTGAACTGCGTGAAGGGAATTAGGTGTCAAGGTGAGACAGCCTTATTGCGTGACCGTGACTTCCTTTTCGAGACTCTTGGCTGGCAGTTGGACATTTGCCCATGCAGACAAGCTTCGCTTCTGGCTTTCCGTGCACGGGCGAGTCTGCATTCTGAGATGCTGCCAGCAATACCTGCACCACGAACAAGAGCCGTGTGCTGATGTTAGCATTCGTTCTCGCATGTCTCACGCGGCCGGATCAAACTAAGCAGCTGGGCATTAAACTTCCATTCTCATGTACCCTCTCCTGATCCGAATTCCCATCAAAGCCCTGAGCCCTGAAGGCGTCGAACCAAGCACCCGTAGCTGTGTTGTTGCTCATATTTCCACATCCATGTGCAGTTCGGAGTAAGGTTTCAATGGTCAACCAGGATCAATGGCCCCTTTGGGACTCCGATCTCTTTTTTACGTTCCAACGGGAGGCAACCTCATATCCCAGATTAGTAGGAGTCTAGACGGAGAGACTCTCAAACTATCCTACATGCAAGATACTCCTTTGGGTGATCCCCCTTATCCCAAACTTCTACGATACATTCTGAAGGCCAACAGGCTGAGAGTGTGCACCTTAGCTGCATTCACCAGGCCATCGATCACGGAGGCCGCAGCCCTCGGCAATGCTCTTGCTACGGTTTAGGGATTATAGGGTTTAGGGTCTAGGGTTTGGCAGGAATATCTCTTGCCACTGCCATGGCAAGCAGCCGCACAAGAAGGCTAGACTCGCAACGACAACTTCGAGACCTTAGGCGCTGTCCTGCGCACACACAGGATGAAGTGGGTTCTCCAAGCGACATGGTTCCTTTAAGGGGTTCTCTAAGGAGAAAAGGCTCTAGTAGCAGTTACGCCCCTTTTGTTCGGTCGGGGAATCAAATCTCCGAACCTCGGCAAGTCTGTGAAGACATCTTCGAGGGCGCTCTCCAAGCCGACGAGGCCTCAGAAGGCACAGAAGCGAGCTGCAGCAAGTCTAAGTCTGATCGGACACTGAGGCATCTTCTTGCGATGATCTTACGGGCTGTTAGGCAATAATGCTTGTTCAAATGCTAGGTTCTGTGATATCCGCTGCAGATGCATCTTCAACGAAAAGGCATCGAGCACTCGAGCACAACAAGCAGGTCTCGTGATCCCACGAGCACGTTTGTGCCGTCACGATGAAAGCTCAGCTTCCACCAGCCGCATAGATGTGTCGTTGTTCGTATTTCACCCCCTGTACCATGACGCTGTCGGTGCTTTCACCATGCTCGCATTTCTGCGCTGAGTACTACGGTGGAAGATGACGACATGTCTTGTTGGTGTTAGTGGAATGTATCATGCCATTGGCGGCTAGTACAAGATAACGTCACCTAGGCAGTTGAAACTCTGACACACTAGGCGATGGAGTCATGTTGACCTTTTTGGGACTGCAAGGCCTGGTGTCTCTCTGCCCGTCACGTCACATGGGCGAGGGGGGTGGAGATGTTTCCGCTGACACATCTGACAACAGTGGTTGCAAGCAGTAAAGGTGACATCGGCAACGCTTGTGCTGTAACTTTTAGTATGCTCGGCAGCAACGAGCACAAGCAGAACAACGACACTACGTAACACCAAACTGAAAACAGCAAACATACGACTGTACTACTAATGCCCGGAAATCTGCTTCTGGGCAGCTCCCCAGCTGATCAGCAGATCTCGCATTGGAGAGAATCACTCCTGGGCAGCATTTGGATTTTGGGCCTGGGCCTGGGGCTCAAGAAACAAAAACGGGTCAGGGTTCAGGGATGGGCTTTAGGGTCGTAACATGTCCAATATTGACAAGGGGGGGTGTGGGGAGTAAAGTTGGATCGGGTTGCTAGGTTTCGGGTTCAATAGGCTTTCGAGTGAAACCAAGGTCGCTGAAAAACACATTGGAGTCCATTGTCTAGGGTCCCGAGATCAGGTGTCGTTGCATGCTAAGTCACTGGAGGTGAAGCTAAGCTTCCCCAACAAATCCTTCAAACCATCCATCGACAGCCCGGACCAAGCTCCAACATCAAACCTCAGAAAGAAGGAACGGTCCGAGCAGCGGGACACCGCGGCGGTGACTTCTGCAGCACCCGCGTCTCGGGCACTGCAGTCCTCATATAGCGTGCAAAGTACTGAGACTTGGACTTCGAGGTTTCTTTGGATTTTGAGCAAAAGGCTTTGGGTTAATTGCTCGGTTGTGGCTTTTGCTCCGAGGTCGATTCTGAGCTTGCGGCGTTCTTAATGTTGCCTGTATGCAGACCGACAAAGGCCATGCCAAGCTGACGAGATGACACTTGCCTTACCGTAGGATCTACTACTTGAGCGGTGGCGTTGGCCTTCCGAACGTTTCCCCCCCCTGTGTTCCATTTCTTACTCTGCATTGCCCAAACCACCACACTAGGCAGGGAAGAGCTCCGAGCTTCCTTTATCGTGGCGGGTTGGGAGTGCCGGGTCTGGGAGCACAGGCTCCCGACTACATGTTTGATCTGGTCTTGTGGTTCGATGCAGTCGCACTTCGAGGCGGTATGACTTCTGCAGAGCCTCTAAGGGTTGCCGCGGAAGAGAGCGTGGTTCGACTCTCACAACAAGCTTTGGGATCTCTTAAACTTTTCGGGATTAGTAACCATGTACTATATAGGTTATATAGGGGTGAGGAACAGGCCGTCGCGCCTCGACAAACTTCGTCAGGCTCTCCGTGTTGAAGGCCATTGCAGCGACAGGCTAAATGCAAATCTCTCCACTTCTACTGTTACCGTGGCTTAAACTGACAACGGTTCGCATGCCGGCAGACATGGATCAGGGCGATGGAAGCAATCTGGGTAAAGTCTTGACTAGAGAGGGCCAGTGCTTTCGGAGCTTCCAAAGCCAAAGCACAGGCGACGCGGCACTGCCCCTCGCTCCACAGGCTTGGCTTGAATACCGGCCTGATCTCTTTAAAACCCGAACCCCTCGAACTCTCTCAAACGGCATTGCCTCGTCCAAGAGGAGGATGGAAGGATTCGCCATGATCGCCTGGAGCAGGCTTTAGAGGGCTATTATAGGTAGAGGCGAAGGCCGTATAGGGCCTGAGCATCTATCGACTCCCAATGCTGAAGGGCAGCTTGCTAGAAAGGTCTCGGGTCTGTGTTGCGGAGCCGCATGAATTTAGAAGGTCCGCGCCAGGCCGAGGATACACAAGCCCTGGGCTTCTTTCCCAACTTTAGATTGAGTCGGGTTCGGGCATGTTTAGCAGTAGGGACTCTTCCGAGCAAGCATGACAAGGGGCAAAAGCTTCGGTTGAAACCCGTAAAGACGTCTGATGCCTCCTTTCTTGCGTCTCGCTGGCTCGTGATTGTACAGTGTACAGTCAGCCATAGGTTGTCTGCTTACATGCATTCATTATAGTCTATGCAACCATCACGTATTGGCAATCAACCTACCCATCCATCTATCCAGCCGCAGCCAGCCACCCAGCCGCCCGTCTGCCAGCTGTATATGCATATGCATATGTATATGCATATGTATATTTATATGTATATGTGTATGTATATGTATCTAGCGTATGTATATGTAATTGTAACTGTATACTTATTAAACCTGTATGTAACGTATATGTGTATGTATGTATGTATGTATGTATGTATGTATGTATACGTATACGTATACGTATACGAATACGTATACGTATACGTATACGTATACGTATACGTATACGTATATATATATATATATATATATATATAATATGTATTATGTGGGTGTATATGTGGATGTATGCGTATGCGGTCATATGTCGATGTATGTATGTACGTATGTATGAATGTATGTATGCTCGTACGTGTGTATGCATAAATGATCATATATGTGTATGTATGCATATTGCAATTAAATTTATGTACATGCATGGACGGTCGGACCCATCTGCATGCATGCATGTCTGTAGACACATCCATTGCAGCCGGATGACGCGGGCGATGGCCACACGCTGCTTTTGTCCTCCCAATCAGACTATAGGGACCCACGGGTTCACAGCTGGCGATGCTGTCAGTCCCCGTCACCAAGGAAGCCCTATCTTTGATAATCAACCCTGACTCACTGCGATGAATTCCACTGCAGTGCGGGCTGCTGAGATCATGGTCCTTTGCAGAACATGGCCCTTCCCCGAATCTAACCGCTCTGACCAGATACCCTGAACTTGTTTGACTAGGGGATGGGCTAGGCCCGGCTAGGCTTTCCATACTTTATAAAGGCATGTTGGGGGTTCCTTGTTATAGGTGTAGTATAATAGGCACCAAAACCCTATTCTAATTTGGTAAGGCCCCTTTATTACCGCCTGGCCTCCACTCAGCTGGATTCCTCGCTCACCCACCAGCGTGTTCTTAGTAGATCAGCGAAGGAACGCTGAATTCACTCGGGCTGCGCGCCATGCAGCTAGCTATGTACTGAAACAGGAGACCAGGATATGTGCCCTCCTTCACGAAAGCTCTACAGGTTCTTCGGGCTCAACGGCTCAGTCTTCCCGGCTTCGACTTGCCAACTGCAGCTCTGGGGATACCCACCCCTTGGCTGTTGCAGCCAGGGCACGTAGCCCTCAGTGAAGTCTGAGATAAAGCCATGGCCTCAGACTGCGGATCAACATTTGGACTTCTTCAGAGTCCACAACCATTGCCATGTTCCTATTGATCTCAACCACAACTATAATCCACGGAGTGCTCTGCAACATGATGCCCAGCAGCTGCACTCCCCAGGTTACCACTGATGCCATACTTGCACTTTTCGCGTCTGAGACTGCGGCAGTTCGCCAGCTTTGCTGCCTCCATGAGCTTGTTCTCGTTGATCTCCTGCTGAACTGACCCAAACCGGTGTCTGCTAGGACAGTCAGTAGGTCGCCTCAGGCAGTTCGAGACAGTTCGGGAGGTGCACCTTGCTTCAAGCCCGAATCGATCATGGCAAAGCTCTGCAACAGCCAAAGTCATGCCACACCGCCCCCCAGACTCCTCGACTCCAAACGCGATATTCTCTCTGGCGCTGATGGCAAACAGGATTGGCTCCTGAGGCGACGCACCGAAACCTCCAGTGGTGCCTCTGCATTCGGACAGCCCTCTGCAGTGGTAGCTGTTACGAATCTATCATCACGCCTGCGAGACCACGGCGATGTGGCGGCGAAGATATGAATACTTCAGCTGCTTGACCTCAAGTCCAGGCCCCCTGGACCCTACTCCAAAACAGTTTTGTCACCTGAAGCTCCTGTGGACTAGACGCAGGTGCACGAACACTGGTCTGGGAAGACGGGCGGCAATTCTAGGATGTCTGCCTGTCCGCATCTTTGAGCTCCCGTTGCGCGTTATGACATTGACCGTGCACATTTCAACCGTATAATGAAACCTTTGCAGGAAGTGCTGACAGAGTCGCATCGACGTCGTCAATCTTCACCATGCCTTCCTGAAGAGTAGCAGGATTTGCTTCGGCTAAGAATGCGACCGTGATCTAAAGAGTGATACAACGAAGAGCCGTAAACCCGAAACAACCTAGGACCTAGGCTGAATTGCTGGCGCGTGCAATATCTCTGCCAGCGAGTGGTCCTTATTCTGCGAACCCTCTCCATCTGATGTTTTCTGAATCATTTCGTTACGACTAGTACGCACGAAGATCACAGTAGCATCCGTTCATTTACCGTCGTCATCAACATCACTGCTAACGTGAGTAAACTCAGCGTCATCAGCATCAACATCGTCAAGCCACAGGTAGCACCAGCACTACCACCGCTAGCATCATTATTATCATCGCAGTCATCATCGTCATCATCCAACCACATAGCTGATACCCACATTGACAATCGCGATGGCACAGCTGAAGGATACCAGCAAACATGCAAAAGAGTGATCACGAACTTTACCATCACCATAAGCCTCGCTATGAGCGCCATCACGGTTATCTTCTGCTTCACGTCTGACTCGTGTCCCGTTCGGTTTATCGTAAACAATCGATGCCACACCAAGCTCCCTTTAAATGGCCAGCAATCCCACATCCAGACTAGCAGCTGGGAACATCCGCAAATAAATCCCTATGTAGAATCCTATGGAGAATTATCGTTGCAAGGACCCCTAGAAAGGCGGCCGTGAGTTCCTGACGACCCCCCCCCCCGCCCCAATCAGGGCACACCTGGCAGTCATAGAGTCGCTGCAGCAGCGAAACACAGCTGCTCTTGCCGCTGCCAGACTGACCCACCAGGGCCACGACCTGCGAAGAAACCATGCAGCGGTGGAGACTCTTTCCGGCTCTGGTGAGTTAGAAGCTTAAGCTCGGTGTTGGGATGTCAGAGGTGCCCGTGCTGAATTGACAAAATCACGAGGAACAGTCAGACTAAGGTGCCGGAACTTTTACATTGCTTCCTGATAAATGGCCGTATCATGGGCCTTGGCAGCAGTAGCTTCCTGCCTGGTTCGGCTCGGCAGTGAAGCTGACCTTTTTCAAGACCTGTTGGTCTGGGCCTCAGCAAGATCATGGCATATCTCAGGGCATCTCAGGAGTTCTGCTCCTCATGGATGTGGAGACTCTGGCTTTTTGCAGCAGCTATGCGTAGGACAGCGATCCTCAGTGCCCGACGAGTGACGTAAGCAAAGGAGACGCCCTGGAACTCCACCTGCAGCTCAACTTGCGAGGAGAAAAGTGCCCCCCGTGCCCTGAACCTTTTAAACTTACTCTTATGAAAAAGCATGAGCCCGCGCGATCCACCGCGAAACCCCAAAAATCTCCAATCTTCAGACTACCTTTCAATGCTCTGACGTTTGCGATCTTCAACAACAGGCGTGCAGTTTCTACTGTCATGGGAATTGCTGCTGTATTCTGAATCTCAACAGCCTGTGATCGCCACCCCAACCTTTCTAATGGCAACCGCCACGACGGCGAGTATGAGCCTAGATCTTGCAAGTCGAACCCTTAACCCTTAACCCAAACCCTACTAGTAGATGGAAATAAGCCTAACCCAACACCCTAAATCCTCAACCCCACACTTTAAGTAGAGGCCTTACTCATAATTAGAATAGGGTTTTGGGGCCCATTATACTCTAATTACAATTAATAAGGAACCCCAATTAGTATCGGTAATTATTGAGGCCCCTGTATTAAACCCTAAACTTCCTCAGCTCCCGGCTTTTCCCCGGCACTCGCCAGGATCCACTTGGCCCTCCACTTGGGCCTCAGATGAGAGCAGCCTTGCGCTGCAAAGTTTGATTTGGGGCGGTTGTGATCCGTTAGGGTTTAGGGTTTAAGATAAAGTGGTGCCTTCGATAAAGTTTTGTAAGGCTTGTCGGCGATGTCTAGAGTGTTCAGGCGTAGAAGTTGCCGGAGCAGTAACATGAGCACCACACTTGTGATAGAGTCGACGTGCAACAGTCTTGAACTCCCCCAAGTATTACACTACGTGCGGCTGTAGGCACACCAACACCTTCTGACAAAGACGGGCAAGAACAATTGCTGGCGCCGCCACGACAAAGACCAAGACAAGGCGGCTAACAGAATCACCATGCCACGAACATCGAAATCAGCTACTATGAGAATTAGTTTCACAAGGGTCCGTGTGGTATGGGACCTCTTTGTACCTGGGGGTGCAAACGTTCCGGATGCGTAGCGAAGCTGGAGCTTGTTCGGAAGGCATTCGAGGTCACGGGCTTACTCATGTGCGCATCACATGAACCGGAAGCATCCTCACCAAAGCAACACCCAGGAAATCTGCGGGTGCCGAAACAAGGAGTTACTGTCCTTTTCTGTCACTGATGAGCCACTGATGACAAGCCCATCATTCAAGCACATGCTCCCACGCCAAAGCACCGGTTCCCGGTCGATGATCTCGAAGATTTTCACTGTTGCACCAATGGCGGAAGCGAAGCTGGGCATGATGCCTGCTGCTACTAACGCTTTCACAGCAGGATGACATTCCAGGCCCTTGGGTGGGGCGCGGTGAATGCAATGAGTCTTGCAATGGCGAGAAGAGTCGCTTGGGTGGGCTCGTTCTTTATCTTGAGGGCTTTCAGTTGAAGACATAGCAGCCATGGCAGACTAAGCAGCACCTGCAGAAAGCAAAGTGCTCATGTCCAGTGATCTCCATCGCCAAAACCCACCTGAAATCTCAAGCCAAGCCCCAAATCCTCATCCTTGAACGTAACCCTAAACTTTTGGGTTTCTGAGGCCCCAACTGCCAAGCATGGCCACAGAGCCGGACAAGCTGACCTGAGCTCATCAACTCCGGGATGGGAGGCGTGCAAAGTGCGTGGATCTGCAGACTCCCCTTACCCAGAGGCCCCAAAGTAGTTCCTTTTTGGGATTGCCTTATAGGATTCTATATATGAACCCCAAAAAGGAACTACTTTGGGGCCTTTGGGTACCCTATAGCTGGAAGTACGCTTCATCAGCAGAGTGACGGGTCACCGGAGAGCCTGTGCACAAGCTCCACATAAACTTCAAGAGTCAGAGGGACTGTTTCGCGAGGAAATCAATGCGATCTCTTCGGGATGTTCCTTCCGGGCTCTCAACCTGGAACTCCTACTCCTGACCCCAAAAGCCCCAATAAGGCTCTGTAGGCCCATTGCTTTCCTGCAAGGCACCGTGTAGAGGACAAAGGAGATCAGCTGCCCGGAGGTCATCTCTCCCTCGTGGACGAGGGTCGCACCTTCTGGAGTTGGGGGGTTTTTAGGCTTTGGGTTGAGGGCCTGGGGAGTTTAGGGTTAAGGGTTTGAGGCTTTGAGTCAGTTCTTAACCTAATCACCGGGCGCAGGGTGTACTGCATGCTTGTACTGTTTGTGGATGTAGAACAAGATACGGCGGGCTGCTACGGGGTGAGGCCCTCACCGTACCGGAGCACAATGGTGAAAGCCACGAAGAAGAGCATGCCGACCTCACTCAGAACTTGGAACACGATAGTCGTGGATCCCGGTCGAATGTTTCGTCTCTTCACTAGCTCATGCCGCTGTTGCACAACCCGAGTTTCCAGCTACGCCAGACCATGCTCCGTAGATCATCGATCGCTGTCGTCCATATCGGTAGACGAGGTCACTTGCAGCACCTTTCCACAGGTAGCTTGCAGTCTGGGGTAGTCTACGACAGGGCGGCTCTGGCCAACACTGCTTGCATCAATCTTAATAGGCGTGTCATGTTGGTGCCAGTGCTGTTACGACTAGTTCGCAGCGTAAACCCGCTGGCAATCTTGCTCTGTTTCCGTCGGCATGCCAGTCGTAATCCGCTACCTGCAAATGAATTGCAGACAGGCTGCAATACTTCTTGTCCATCAGCTTTTCCCCGGAGCTGAAAGCACGGACTGTGCGAAGATTGCCAAAAGTCTCAGAGGCCAGATTTCCGACTTCGGCAGTCCTTGATTCGCTGCGAGGTTACTGGCCAAGCAGTGTTTCAAAACGGGCCTGAATATTCTAGGATGTGAACACAGCAGCAGCGAGCTTGTTGACAGCTTGCTACACGCTTGACTGTATCGTCCGTAGCGTCTCTAGAGGCAAGTTGGTCAAGTCAGCCCCCAGTTCTCAACAAAAAACATGTCCCACCGGTATATGTACCGGAATCCGATGCCACGCGCATGGACAACGGACGGGTGCTGCCAAGAACCCAATCACAGAAGAAAAGCATACCCAAAACTCTAAGTCCTTTGGGTCTGCTCTGAGCTCCTGACTACCAGGTGCATGAGCTAAGACTGGCCAAGAAACTCATCCTGATACTTCTTGCTCACGCGCTGGGAGATCTGACTCATGAACACGGCCAAAATGCTAACCTGGCTGTGGCTTGGGGCCTTAGGCCCTTTCGGCTGAGCAGTGCCTCCGGTACAAGGTATAGCACACCTCTCGCACGTGCCAAAGTGGTCTTGTGGGGCTGACTTGTCCAAGCTACTACCACGGGTCCTAATCCTAAGTGCACAAAGGAAGATTCCTTCATTTCTTCTATTATCGCAGCCGAGACACGACTGGCACTGTGACGAGCATAGCTAAGGTCAGTTTCCAAGAAGTCACCTGGGAAAGGGGTATGGTATGGGTAGTAGACAGAGTAATAGTAATATTAATAGCAATAGTAGTAGTAGTAGTAGTAGTAGTAGTAGTAGTAGTAGTAGTAGTAGTAGTAGTAGTAGTAGTAGTAGTAGTAGTAGTAGTAGTAGTGGTGTAGTAACAGGAGTAGCAGCAGTAGCAGCAGCAGCAGTGACATGTCTGAATGCACAACGTGAGAGCCGGGCTACTTTCACTCCGTTCGTCCGAGCTGATGCGAGGTTGACCACAAGAGGTGGAGCTGCAGGATCACGAGACCAACTCGTTTCAGCTCCACCGCCCGATAGTCACGTTTGACGGACGTCACGGGTGGGAGTGGAGGGTCAAAAAGAAGATTCGAGCCACAATTCTACACGATTGTGGCTCACATCCATGTCACTGTGCACCGCAGGTGCTTCCAGACATGTCTGAATGCACAACGTGAGAGCCGGGCTACTTTCACTCCGTTCGTCCGAGCTGATGCGAGGTTGACCACAAGAGGTGGAGCTGCAGGATCACGAGACCACCAGCTGCAGCTCCACAGCCTATTCCCCATCTTGTGGACTGCCAGAGAACTGCCAATGCAAAGAGAGAGCATCAAGCACGCCTTGACCGCAGGCATACTCCAAGTCCTGAGAGACCTTATAGAGGATATGCCACAAAGGAGAAAGATCACTCTTAAGAAACAACCAACCTTCTGCAACAGCCCGCTGGACGTCTCCTCTGGAAAGCTTATCCGAAATGTTGGCCGCGCTGGCGACCCACTCGAAGTGGCCCATCCAACCAAGTCGCGCAGCAACGTGATTGAACCATGCAAGCAGACGATTAATGTGGTCGTCACGACCGTAACCTTTTGACAGGGCTGCTCTGCCTGCCTGATTGTCCACGAATGAAACCCAGAATGATGACATCTGCCTATGATTGGTAAGCAGCCCGACTGCCTGGGCTAAAATCTCCAAGAAATAAATAAAAGCTTTGCGATGACAGTATACCTCGAGAAGGAAGCTAGGGGCCTCGAAATGAGCAGCTGTGATGCTCTGTCCTGTGCGGCAGACGAACCCAAGACCGTTCTTACATCGATGGATACGTTCCATCGGCCACCTTTTGGGGAGCGTCGCTGAAGAAACCAGCCAGCGATTGGAACCCAATTCGAAGAAAGCATCTGCGTACAATGTTGAAACCGTCTGGCCGCCTCGAAGAGGAAGAACTTTGGGTGGTGCCTCGGATAACAGTGACAGCAGACATCGCATGGCCGACCGCAAGCCGCTATTGAGAGAGTCAATACCATCGCCGGCCGCGTTAGCTCGCGCGTGCACTGGGTGTAACAAAGCCTGGCCAACTCGCCCGAAAAGAGAAGTGCAGAGAAACTGAAGCTTTCCGGCCAATCGCGAAGCCGAGTCAGGGCGCAGACAGTCGCACCTGAGCCCCTCCTGTATCATCTGTTGTAGTTTAACAAGACGAGCCGGATCCGGCTTCACTGAAACAGAATCTTTTGAGATGTCAATGAACACTCCCTGGATCTTCTGCAAGGGGCCAGGTCTCTGTTCTTTCGAAAGCTTCAATCGAAACCCCAACAGCGAACAGAACTCCCTGAAGACGAAGAAACTAGAATCAGCAGTCTCGGCCGGGTCCACACTGCCCAGGTCGTCCACGTAATGAATGCACGCTATCAAGAATAGCGTCCTGGCCAGCCAGAGGAGAGCGTCTGTGCACTTGTTAAAGTGAAAAACGGACGCTGTGGCCCCGAAAGGCATGACACAATGCCGCCAGAGGGTTGGCCCTTCCGGGGTCGCCACCAGCACGAAACAGTCATCTGGATTGGCCACTGGGTATTGTCTGTAAGCAGCCTCTAAATCCTGGGCCCAAATGACAGGATCGAAACCTGCCTGTGCAAGAAAACGCACCATAGAAACATACAGGCTCACATCATCGTGGGGTGGGACATCGCTAGCATGAACCGTCGAGTTATGAAAGGATCGACGATAATCCTCGCATCGACGCACTTTGCGACGACCATCCGATCCAGTTTGTACTACAGAGAATGCCCATGCCACTGATGGGTCCTCCGTTGGGCATGGGAGAAGAGAATCGAAGCCCGTAACGCCGGAGCAAGCTGTAGTACTGACATTCCAAGACTTCGGTGCACTGAAAGGGCCCTGCATGCGACCTTTCCGAACCTCATCGGAAACCTCCCGCAGCAAAACTTCCCACTCTTCGTCGACTCGACCCTTTTGCAATCGTGACTTGACATGGTCGCGATTCAGCGTCTGGAATGTTACTTGATCAATCGGATGACTGTATTTCTCATCGCACCTAGGCAGCCAACCAGCGGTTGGTCTAATGTCGCCCAGCATCGGCATACCTTGGCGAAGTTCGCGCTCCAATGCGTCGCAGTCTGGATAGCCACAGCCTCGGAGCAGCTCAACAAATACCGGCACTTGCACGCACGAACCTTCCTCCAGTGTGTACGCGGCTCGAACATGTGGTTGCAACGACTGGAACCATGCTGCTGTTGCGTCTGCTCTCTCTGTGATCAGCTCACGAACCCCTTGTAACACCAAACCTCGAAATTCAGCAATATCCCCAGGGAAGTTGGCGAGACGATGATAAATGATCTCCAAAGCAGGCTGCAACCGCGGCTTCTCCAGAAGCGGATGAACAACAGAAAGACTAGCGATCCAATGTTCCCACTCGTCCCTGAGTGGCGGCAGAACTGAAGGCTGGAGCTCAACGGTGCGACCAACCGGCAAAGGGTTCGCGCGTGCCTGTTCTACTGCCGATTGCAAAGCCTCGCTAGCCGAGGGAGTCGACGCTGGTGCACTACCCTGGTCGCTGTACGGTGACAACAAGCAGTGCAACAAAAACATGGTACAGCCAATGTGCCATGAATTGCCTAGCAGTCTATGCCGGACCTTGGGTGGAACTCCAGGGTCCCGAGTCACGCCCGGTGGGAAATGATGTAATTGCTCTTTAACTTCCGCTGGAAGTAGGCTGAGCTGGTTGCTTGGATCGGCAACCATTGCGGACTCCTCGAACATCCAAGGGGCATATTGTCTCCGTCCTTCTAGCCACCTTTGTCGAGTGGCTGGGCTGATGCTCCCCCGCATCTGCTTTGGAGGATCGCGCCCGTCCTCCGTGGGGGAAGGCGTGACCATGCATGGCAGCAATTTGCTGCCATCCATAACGCTGGAATGAAACCGAAGTCCTGGCATCTGAATGGCTTCGGGGTTGTCCTTAGGAACCTCGGGTAACAGCTTCCGCAGACCTTGATGCCGAGTCCACTTGAGAACCTCTCCGGTCACGGGGTTGAGCTTAAAGCACGACCAATCATGACGTGTCCACCAAACCCTATAGGTCGACTGATGATCCCCCAGGAGGCTGCGTCCAGGACCAGAGTCGAAGCTCGCAGTTGCTTGGAAAAGAAATCGGCATCCTGAGATGGCTGCATTATCACATTTTCCACCAAAAGAACGAAATCATATCCCGGCATCAAGGACTCAATCTCGCCCAATTTGTTGCAGAAGACTTCGAAAAGCCGACCCGTGGGTCCGCGCCGGCCTTGTCCCTCGGCTTTGATCCGAGAATAATCGGGACAAGGAGGCCCAGCACAGATAAGGATAATCGCCTGCTTGTCAGGATCCATCTGCTGAAGCATGTGTGCAACCTGCTGTGCGTTCTCCGCCTCGATGTCCCCGCGATCGAACCTGAGACCGCGGAAAATCCGCTTGCTGACCTTGATGGCCCATTCATCCGTCTCCCAAACGAAAAGAGCTCGTAGGCGGACGCCCAATCGGGCCAAAGAAAAAGCAGCAGATCCCATACCGTCGAAAAATGAAAGCAGAATCACATCCCGAGACAGATGAAGCCCCGGTAGCTGCAGCTGCAAAGACGGTGCCGGCAACGGATCACGAGGGGTTGGCTCCCTCGGGTGTGCCGACGTGGACGGCACGATGTTGCCGTCAGGTATTGGTGAGATTGCCGATGACCCCTGAGGCCGGTTACCTCCTCCCTCGGCAGGAGGAGGAGGCCCGAGCTGTCCCTAGGCAGCCGCCTCAGCGCCTGATCGGCGCCACGATGGATTCGGGTGCCACGTCGGGCGCCATGTCTTGCCCTTGCCGTCAGCCTGCTTGCCACCGTAGCCCTTATCGCTGTAACCCTTGTCGGTGAAACCCTTCTCGCCGTAGCCCTTGTCAGCGAAAGCTTTGCCGCCCTTCTCAAAGAAGCCCTTGCCCTCGCCCTTGCGCGGGATCTTTGCCGGCGAACCCTGACCATCAGTGTGTGGCCGGCGTCGGTTGCCCCCCTCAGCAGCCGTGGGCTCTCGTATCATGTGTTCCTGAAAAGAAGCCAAATCAGCCATGACCAACTCGGAAGCCTCAGTAAATGTCTTCTTGGCACGCAAGTAGCCGCAGAGCTTCCAAGATGCAGACTCAAAGTATGTGCGGAACTGCTCGATCTTGTTCTGCCGACTCCGGGCCTTTAGGACCATGAACTCAAAGTATCGCCGGATCTGAGTCTCGGGGCCCATCTCCACGAGAATGTAGAGCCACTTGATCGCCCGTAGGCCGTCGAGCACTGAAAGAAGGCCACGAGGCACCCAGTCAGCATCGGGATCTGTCTCCTCGCGTAGCAATCCGTCCTCTACTGAAAGTTTGTGGGAGCGAGGCTTCTTAGCCAATGGATTCACCTCCCGATTGGCCTGGAAGGATCTGCGTGAAAGCAGCTCACCGAGCGCTACGGGTTGGTAATGTTTGCTCACTTTGTGCTCGTGTAAAACACGAGCCACTACGGCTTCGGCCCCTAATAATTCGTGCTCCGGAAAGGAGCGCCTTTCTCCTGCCAGAGTCACGCTGTTGAACCTTTCCACCATCTCGGACCATGCACCTGCAGGAAGAACCTTGGGAACCTTCGCTTCCGAAGCGGTGGGCGAAGCGGTCGAAGCAGAGCCTGGGGTAGCAGTCGGGGCCGCGAGAGCCGACACGGCCCCAACTTGACGGCTCCTGGACTCCCTGGCCAAATCCCACATGTAGGCCAGAATTGCAGAAGCAATGGGCTTCTCGCAATCCTCGAGTTCGATGCGATCTGATGTCGCCGATTTCTGCCATCCTCGCAGCAGCGGCTGGCAGACCACATCATTGAAGGTGGCACGATCACTGGCCACGAGAGCCAAAGCCCCGGCTGACTTCAGCCCTCTCTCATCAAGATATCGAAGCAGATCCGCTCCTGCCCCTGCCTTGAGAGCGATGTCATCGAGACTAGGCTCCGTTGGATTGGATGGTCCGGCCGGGGCCCCCCCGAGCGAAGCCATCGAGAACTGCAGACCGATCTACCGAAAACACTTATAGTGCACGGTTGCAACTCTCCTGCATGTGCCGCGAACATGTGACTCCATGAAATGAACCCTGCCACTTGAGTCGGTCTCCAAAGCAACACAAAGCAGGTCTCGCTCGACACCGCTGTTCGGATAATGCTGGCAAGCAGCCACTTCACCACGAGAAGTGTTTTCACACCGCGGCCGTAAAGCAGGGGGCCCGCTGCCCCTGCTGGACGATCTCAGGTCCTGCTTGACTGTACCGACGCGCGCGCCTTATGAGACCACCCTCTTGGCCTTAAAAACGCTCACTTAATTAGTCTGCCTTGTGCCTGGGCCCCTATGGTCGCCAGTGCAGACAGCTATAATCCTGGCCCCGTGGCGAACCTAATCCATGGCATGTACATTGCCATCGGGGGCATAATCGACTTCGGGACTCTCACTCGCTCTCCCAAGAATGCAGCGCCTGGCCGGAGGAATCTCGGCCGCCTCGCAGCGCTCCAGAAGGATCCCGACGATGCGTTTGCGGGAGAGAAAGCCCACTTGCACGTCCTGTCGCGACCGATCGCCCCCCCTTCAAATCAGAGAAATGTTTCAAGCGACTCGCAAGCGAAGAGCCCCAACAGAAACAAACCCCGAAGCGCAAAGCAAAACCCTCCGAACTTTTCAATCAGCTGGAACTGCTGCTCGTCTCGGAAATGCTGCTCCGACTGCTTTCCTCCCCTGTGGAGGAACTGTCGGACTCTGCAACACCACTGGGAACTCGGAAGCACTTGAGACACAGATCCGGCGACCCTGCCGGAGCGCTGGTAACACGATCGAAGTATCGCAACCCATATGGCCACCCACATTGTGCTCGCCACTTCCTGGGGGGATTGGCGCTCTCATCCACTGCTATGCGGTGGATCTTTCCCGTCCTCGGTCTTCTAATGTACTGCTGGGGCGGCTGAACCACGGCTGCCTTCAAGCTCTCCACTTCAGCCCTCACCGAGGCTATCTCATTTGATGCCCTAGAAAGTGTATCTGTAATCGCGGCCGGTGCCCTGTGCTGGGCCGCGCTCCGGGCCCGCCGAGGCGATCTCTCCCGATCGCCCTCCGATCTGCTACTGGCTGCCCCTTGTGGAATGTTGACCTGTATCCCGGTCCTGGCATCGACCGCAATGTTGATGTTGGGCTCCTGAACCAGAACTCGTGAGATGGCAGCTGGGACCTGTGCAAGGGGAGCACTTTGTACGTATCGTTGAATGGCATATGAAGTCCAGCGTCCAAGGATTTGTACAAGGCTGAGACTCACTCCCAAGCTGATCAACCATTGCGCTCCTGAAACTCTTGCGCAATGACCTTGGAAACGATCGATCATGCGGCCTGACTCGTCCGGTCGCTGAACCGGAATGCCGGCTCGAGTCAGAGCAGACATAAACCCAGCAATAACTCTCGCCTTGGTGAGCTCCATCCCGTCCTCCGCTGGAACTGCGAAGTGGGCCTTGATCCCACTCTCCTCTTCCCAGAGTCGAACCCGCTCCAGGTGGCGCTCTGCTGCTTCATACGGGCACAATCTGTTCTTCCTGATGCGGCACGCACACCGAAGACTCCGAAGGCAGAGTGTCCCGGAGGAATCCATCTTTGACACTGGCAGAAGCACATGAACGTGGCCATCGGCAAGATACAAGTGCCCGGTGCGCAAAGCACCGAGTTCAATCTCCCTCAACATGTACCAGCTACTCAAAAGCGTGATATCCGCCCAAGCCTCGGGATCGTCGGCACACCATGGTCTTAGAACCGCGCCGTCCTGTGGCAGCGCACCTCGCAAGTCTTCTACCGGAAAAGCATCTTTCAGTCTGTCCGGTCCAAGCCCTCGCCGAACGGACCGAACACAGTCTCGCAAAAGGCCCTTCAGCTCTGGGTCGACGGGTTGCTGAAGCTCTCTCTCCTGATGCTTGCAGGCCACCGAGAAATACTGAGCAGCGCTCCGATAAGATCCTTTCTTCAATGAAGCCGCAACAGCAGAAATGTTCGCGCGAGATAGAGGAAAGGCTGGCAAATCCCAAGCCTGGCACAGCTGTGACCACAGCAATACTCGACTCTCCACTGGAGCCGTCGTTGTCCTAGCCAAAAAGTCGCGACGAAGTTCACTCAGTGCTGCATCCCTAGCCTCGGGACGAGCCGCTGCGAAAGCGGCAGCACGGTCTGCCTTCTTTCGCACTGGCACTGCTGGCAGATCACCCCTGCGCGCTGCTGGGACGAGTTGGGCGGCCGAACCGTCCGCCCCCGATACAGACAACATCTCTATCTGCCATGACGCAACACCGGCTGCACGTAAAAGAGAGGCAGAAGACTGCACTTCTTCCAGGCGTCGCACATGATGCTCTATCAAAATTGGGGCTAGGGACTGAAGCCCCAAGTCTCGCAACCTACTCCAAAGCTCGGCCGCAGCCATCTCGAGCCTACAAACGGTAGTGGCGAGCGCCGCTGAAGCGCGAAAAACCCCTAAGGCTCAACCCTGTCCTGGCCCAGGAATCTCCTCGTTGAATCACAATAGAACTGCAAAGCATACCGTGCTGCGCTGCCCGTCTCGCAGAAAGAAGAGAGTAATGGAATCTGCTCGACAATCATTGCATGCTCGCGGGGACACAATGAAGTCGCGTCGCGAAAGGAGCGAGGGATAGACCTCGGCTGACCTGACAAAATCGGACATCCTTGGTCGCACTTCAATGAGGTAAGCAAATCCACAAGAGCTCCCAAGCTTCGAACTCCTTCGTCGCCCAAGTGGCAAGAGACTTCCAGCAGAGAGTGTCGAACGCCCTCCAGCAGGTAATCATATGCCAAGTGATAATCAGTCCCAGCCGCGACATGTATGGCTTCCAATTCCTTGACAGCCCAAGCCACTTCAGCTGCCGAGCAACGAGCCATGCCGCAAGGGACCGAAATCACTCAAAAAGAAGATTCGAGCCACAATTCTACACGATTGTGGCTCACATCCATGTCACTGTGCACCGCAGGTGCTTCCATGCAATGGCAAACAACAGAACGTTACAACCAGAAATAACAGAGATTACGACTAACCACAAATCAAAGGCTAAACGGAGGGACCCCTAATAAGGACCCCTAGGTATATACCCATAATCTAGCCATTATATACCCATTCTACAGCCCATTTGGGGAGGGGTCCCATTAAGGGTCCCCCCTTTGCCCCTTTGAATCAAGCATCCAGGAAGGCTGGGAGCGAAAGCGCCACAAGCTTCCTTTATTCAAAGGCGAGAAGGAGGGACCCCTACCCTATAATGGGGACCCTTTAAAGGGATCTATAGGGATTCTACAAGGGTATAGGGTTTAGGGTTTAGTAGGGGGAAAGGAGGGACCCTTAATGGGGACCCCTGCCCTATAATGGGCTGTATAAGGGGTATATAATAGCTCTATTAAGGGTCTATACCTACAGTAGGGGTCCGTATTAAGGGTCCCTCCTTTTACCCTTGGAACAAATCGATATGGAGACGGTAGTAGAAAGATCAGAGTGGCCGTCGCTGCTCCTAAGCAGAGCGACGAAGGGTCGGGCCTGCCAACTTTGGTCGTCCGAAGGGGATGCAAGCGATTCGAATCCAGGACCGGCACAAGAGAGTGCCAACCTGGTTGTGAGTGATTTGTTCAGACAATCTTTGGCAGAGCCGCGAGCATCACGATCACGGACAACAGCAGGCTCGCGCTGCTGCGAAGGAAAATGGAGATGTTCGAGCTCGCCTCGGATGGCACTAGGCCGCAGTGAGCACTCAAGCTCCACGATTCCGAGACTCTCCTCGTTGCAGGCTAGATGCGGCATTCTGCAAAGTGCCGGTGTCATTTGTCAACCGCGACACCAGTGCCTCACTGACAAGAGCGCAGAACTGAAGGGAAAGCAGGTGAAAGTTTTGAGAAAAGGGGCCCCAGTGGTCTGCACATCGAAGAAGGCAATCTCTTGGCGGAGCAGCGCTCGGAAAACCTGACCGAATGAGATCACCGCCTTTAATGGCTGCTACTGTAACATTGAGCTACACCCTCAGCAACGACACTGTCCTCACAGTTCTAAAAGCACTTAGCGTGGCAGCCCAAGCAGACGTGGTCTGAAAAACAGCGACTTCGCTTGAACGCGTATATGCTACGAACAGATAAACAGCAATCCGAATGAGCCGGCAAGCCAAACTGAAAGCCGTTGTTTGCTGTAAAAGTCCATGGCCTGCTTCCTCAGCTCGCAGACGATGCGCTCGCCGGCGAGGACGAACAAGGCCCCTGACAGGGAGTCTTCCAGATGTTCGGGTCCTTCTTTTTCAGGACTCTTCTCCCTGTGCCTTTGTTGCTGCGGCCTCTATGCCCACTAAGTTTACACCTATGCTTTCCGAGGTGACGTCTGCTTTGTGCAGCTAGAAGACGTGGCCAACTATGTAACGAGAACAGCCCGCAAAACATCATGCTTGACAGTCCTAGGAGCACTGATGCGAGTGAGAATAATGTTGAGCAACTTGCTAGTTGCTCTGGTTCGAACCCTTGGCCTCGGATCATGGAGGTGAGTGAAGAAGCGACGGCAACGACCAGGATTTCGGCGGTCACCTTTCTCTCAGAACAAGTGCCGTCCGCAAGAGCTGTAGGATGCTGCAGGACACGATCGAACCCTGGACAGATGGAAGCTTCTAGCGAGAGTCTCCGACGAGAGCAAGCTCTCCCAGATCTGATAGGCTCTATGCCGAAGTTCAAGCGTGCTCGAGTAAGCAGCCACGCACGATATTATTCATCAAGCCATGTCACACTTATCTTCCCTACCTTCTGACGCGTACGCCCGGCACCTGGTTAAGCGCATCCATCGACACTCCTTCCTGACTGCCGACCATTTCGACGAATCGTCCGCCATAATACGGCAGAAGCATGAACAAGGCACCTCAGCTTCGACGTGTGTACTTCGACTTCAGGACGTTTCGTCTTATGGCTCGCGAGATCTGGAGTCATGAAGTCTCGGATGTGGCTTGTACAGCCCGAAGTCTTTCAAGCCCAGCTGCTGTTGAGATAAAGGCTGAAGGTGGCCGGAATGAGGATTTTGTACTCGCTGGCTGCAAGCTTGAAGATCTTGCCTCTGGGTCCCCAAGCACAGGCTTCGAAGATGCTCTGCAGTGCTTTGTGTTTGCCATCCTCAGGCTTGTGGGCCAGGGCCTGTGATCGTCAACCGCTACCACGGCAAGGGGAAGGTGCAGCAAACTTCAGACCTATAAGTCTTAACTAAGGCCGCGCCGCCGGTGGCCGTGTTCTTCTGCGCGAGGAGCGCGCCCAGAAAGATGGAAATCACCGAAATGGCAATGATGACCTCGCATACCACGGAGTTGCTCGGGTCAAGCGACTCCGAAACCCTAAACCCACAACCGAAGCCTCAAGCTCTCAATCCTAAACTGCCTGAAGCCCTGAAACCATGCAAAGCCTGTTAATCCTAAACTTCGAGAACCAACCCCCACACCTCAAAGGCCGACGAGCCCTCACACAACCCTCAACGCAGGAGGCGGCATGGGCCCCAACGACCACGGCCACGATGCCAGCTCCCAAAGGTGTGACGCCCTTGGGCAAGGACATTCCACCTTGAATGGGCTTGGGGATTAGGGCTTTGGGGGTTCACGAACTGTGGCCTCTAACGACTGGGGTTTGGGGGTTGGGTTTGGAGGTTAGGGTTGAGTCGAGGTCTAGGAAGCTCATGCATGACGGTCAGGATCTGCTGCAAATAGGGCTTTATTGGTATTTCTAGTTGAGTTGCTCGCAAAAGGACGCTTAGAATATGGCATCACAATTGAACTACTCCACTCCACATGATATACGGCTTGTTGGAGCCTGATCAATTTTATTTCGCTTCAGAGAATCTTGACGCTTTTCTGAATCGTTTTGACGACTGGCCACCGTTCCTTGCAGCCGTCCTTGGCGCCCCAGTGCCTCTTTCTCCGGCTCTCGCTCGCTCGCTCGCTCTCTCTTTTTTCTCTCTCTCTCTCTCTCTCTCTCTCTCTCTCTCTCTCTCCTCTCTCTCTCTCTCTCTCTCTCTCTCTCTCTCTTGCTTGCACTCGGACAAGAGGGAGCACGCCCCCCCCACCCCGCGCACGTGTGCGCACCGGATCCGCAGTCTGAAGTGTGACACTTTAGCCGGGTGAGGTCCACGTTCTTCAAACCGTCGCACTCTCTCTCTCTCTCTCTCTCTCGCTTTCTGTCTCTATCTCCCTCTTTCCTTCCTTGACAAGCCTCCTCACGGTGTCGACTAAAGCAGACTGAAGCATGTCGCACATACCTCAATTCCGCCGAAAGCGAAGTCTCTCGTGCGAAGGGTTCAGACAAGGGCCCACTGAAAGTGCCGTTTTTGCAATTCAAGATGACTCTGCAGCCTGAGACCGCAGACCACGCTCTCAATCGTTGAATCCCTCTCCTCGCTAAGTCTCTCAATCCGCTTGTCGAGCCTGGCACTGCGCCCTCGCTTACCTCCGTGTTGGCCAGCATGGGCCATGCCTGTGCTCGAGTTTTGGTACAGGGGTCGTGGGTTCTTTGGTCATCTGAGAACTTGACATTGCTGGACCCGCTTGACAAACGACGTACGGCTGTGCAGCCGCTCGGCCACACATCAGCAAACATCTCATGTAGCGAGTGTAGTGGGATCCGTCAAGCAGGGATGGGAACAGATTCGAAAAGGGATCTCCTTAGAAAGCGAATCCCTGGCCTCAAGAAGCCCCGAAGGGCATGAATTGCAGAGCAGTATAGCTAAGATGCCAGGGGATGGAGTGCGAAGTCCGCGCTGTGCGTCAGAATATCCATGTCCTGACATGGAACAAGGAGCCAGGCTTTGCAGTGTTGCCTTGTGGGTATTATGATATACATGACGGCATGGAGAACAAAAGCTCGGTGATTTTTATCCGACGAATGTTGACCCGTTCATAGCCTAAGCGCTATCAGCTTTAGACTTGGAGACTGTTGAAACCCAGATCCTGTCTGCATACCCGGCCTTCTAAAGCCGCGATCGCGAAGTCACAAGTTTCTGTCGGGGGAGAGGGGGCGTCCCTTCAGGTGCTCGGCCCGCTGACAATCTGCATGATTCTGCTGAACATGTGACGGAAAACCGACGGAAACGTTGCGGGTCTGCCGGCAGGCTAGAACGTGGGCATGCGAATATCTGAAAGTCAAGGCTGCATGGGTATTGTATGTATGCTTGCGGAAGCAGAAGCATTAAACCAGCGGCTGCGGATTGCATGGACTCTCCTTTGCCAAACATGGAACCACCGGCAGTGCAGGTCAGCAAAAGTTTGCCACCAGTCCACTGCACGACGGCATAAAAGAGATCGCTGCAGAACACATCGGAATGGTCGAGGCCGTGGGGATGCCTTGTCCAGGAGTTCCTGCCTCTTCTCGAGCAGGATCCTTGCAAGGGTTCTGAGTCAGAACAGCCACTAGACTAGCTTAGAAACGGCGTGACGGAACAGGGATAATCGCTGGATCTCACCTGACACCATGACTCACGAACTAGCTAGCCAAGGCAGCATCGGTCCATCTACTGCAGACCCAGTCTTAGGAACAGTAAAATCTTCGCATACTGTCCCCACAGTATGGGTCCAACGCGCTTCTGGTGAGATCTCAATGATCTCTTTGGTGCTGGAAAGACTGGGGGCCATGCATTTTTGCATCCTTGCTGTTTGCCCGCACCGATGCCGATATAGGCTGGGCGCAGATGAGCTATACACTGATGGGCTTGTACCTGAAAAACTTGGTGTCGGTCTTGTCTACATCAGTGAACACGTCGATCTTGAGGACTGGCGCTGTGCTATACTCGCAGCGAAATCCAGAATCCAGCACAAATCCAAACTCCGCCAAATCCAGTCGCCAAAATTTGTTGGGTTGCTGCATCGCTTAATACATGGGAGTTTCCGAAAATAGGGGTACCCTAATTTGGGGTCCTTATAATAAGGATCCTACTATTTAGGGTACTATATTAGGGATCCCTATTTTCGGAAACCCCCACATCTGCGACGGAGCCCCGGTGAAGTGCAGTCTTGCGGACAAGGCACCGGCAGCTCCGGGGCTTTCGGATTTCCAATTCCTGCCTGGCTTCGCAGAGCTCTACCATCCTAGGGGCCTTAGGAATTAGGGTTTAGGGTTTAGGGTTTTGGGATACCTTATACTATATTTTTAGGGGCCTTAGTATAACCTTAGTAATTAGAATGGGTTTTTGGGGTACATAGTACCATCATCTGTAATTAAAATCAGGACCCCCCCCCAAAAAAAAAAATACTGGTGATTCTTAAAAGCGCCCCTATATTACCCGTTCTCGACATGGAATGGTATATTATGGCATGGTACTGTATGGTTAGCATAGTCCATCACAGTACTTGTGTTGTCGTATCACCAAGCCCCAAGCCGTGTTTGAACAAATCTCATCTCTATCCGTGTACCAAAACTGCCTGTCGATACATCAAGCAAGTTAATCGAGAGCTATCCCAGGAGGAGTCGTTTCAAAGTAGTGGTGTCGGAACAAGACCTTTGAACAGCTTCGAAAGCTTGCCTCGCCTTGTGCATCGTGTTCAAGAGCCTTTTTGGATCGACACCTGCGGCGAGAGTGGGGTTGGATGCTGAGCCGGGGGCCGACAGCCTAAGCTCCAGAATTCGACCATGGTGATATGCGGTTCCAGCAGAACTCGCTGTTGCGCGTTTTTAGCTGGAGAAGTGACGCTTGTCGCACCGGCACTCCTGCAGCCGGGAATCGCAGACATCCACACAAGGACAACAGTATTTAACACAGAAAGACGCTCCCGCTGGCAACGATGCTGGCTAGACTGCGCTGGACCACAGCCTCTTAACTCCCCCTTGAGTCCTCGAGCCACTGAAACTCTCAAGAGCCATCATCGCCAACTGGAAAACTTCTGAGACTTTGCGCGCTTCGCTTCAATCCTGGTGCCTCGATTTCTTTCCGTGGCCGGGGCCAAGGCCCTCCGCCGGAGTCCCACTCGGCTCAACTGCGAGTTGGGGACGGTTCCGAGTGCTTGTAGGATGCAGGGGAGTCTGGCAGAAACATTTGCCAGGGCTATTGCTGCATAGATGAGAGATGCACAAAATTCGTAGCGTTGGAGATTGGAGAGTTAAGGACGAAGCCCATACACAGCCGACACCCTTATCCTCTCAAACGATCGGCTCTGTCTGCAGGAAGAGTTCAAGGCTCGTTTCAGATGATGTTTTTCGAAATGCTGCTGGCGCTATGTAGCGGGCAGGACGCTGCAGTACTGGGAGGGCACTGAGCATTCCCTTTTTCTCCTGGCTTCGTCACGCGATGCCGAGGATCCCAGTGCCGGCAATCAGCATGGCCACACACGAGGAAAGGCCTCGAAGAGACGGGGTTCAAAGATGCGAGATCTCTCTGTGTCAGCATGCTTAACTACCGCACGCAGTCCAGCTCTACAGGCAGCGCGTGGAGTCTTTTCTGTGTAGGGGAAGAAAGCATACATGATGATTATGATGATGCCACTCGCCCCGCTTCTCTATCTCTCTCTCTCTCTCTCTCTCCCTCTCTCTCTCGCTCTCTCGCTCTCTCATTCTCTCTCGCTGTCTCTGGCTCTCTGTCCAATCCGACAGCAGAAGCAGCAGTCATCTCCTATCAGTATCACGATCGAAATCACAGTCACCGTCATCGTCCCAATGACAGCCGACACCGTCCCCTCCCATCTTCATGAACACCAACAACATCACCATCCTCACCTTCATCATCGTCATGGACCCTATAATCATCATAACAGTAATGATGAGAATAAAAGTAGTAACAATAATCGGACTCATAGTATATAATAGTGGTAATTATAATGGTAACGATGATACTAGTAATAGTAATAGTAGGAGTAATAATGATAAAAATAATAATAGTTAACAGTAATCGTCATAGTGGTAGTAATACTAATAACAGAAATAATAATAAGAACAATAACATGGTCAGAGTCATAGTAACGACAATAATAACAAAGCAAACCCACGCCCCGTCCGGCCTTGCAGGTAAGCCTGTCCCCGTGGCAAAGCCCGTGCGACGCGTCGATCTCCGGCCTGGCTCAGGCAGCTTTGTCGGCCCTTCGTCCTAAAGCCCAAGGGCTCTATACGGATACTATAGAATAGACCTGGTTCTTTCAAAGGGTTCTATGACGGGTCTATAAGGGATCTATGGTAGGGTTTCTGTAATAAAGGGCTTCAATAATTACCAACACTGTTTTGGGGGTTCCGTATTATAATTGTAGTACTCATATCATATGCCCCAGAACCCTCTCGAGCTCTGAGCTATTTGGCCCTGATGCGGCTCGGTCAACAACTTTGGATCCTTTGGCCGGCGCAAGCTTCATTCTACGAGGGTTGCATCTTGAGGAAACCAGCAGTCTCAGCCATAGTGCCATAGTCCTGCAGCACAGCTTCAATCTGACATGTGTGTTCCAGCCATGACTGAGACATCAGGTCGCCCAACCACTAGGCCACTGGCTGTGCCGTGGATCTTGGTGTGTTTCTTTTGTGAACTCAACCCCCTGTCGTAGCCATCTCCCAGTCGAAAGGGCCAATCTCAAATGCTAGTAATATAGGGGCCGTAAATATTAGAATAGGGTTTTGGGGCCTATTATACTATAATTATAATAAGGAGCCCCCAAAATAGTATTGGTAATTATTACTACTTATTTAAGCTCCTATAGTACTGTCTGGCCTCAGACTGTGATGGTTGACAGATATGAACCTGCATAAGCACGAAGGGTCTCGAACTTTTCAAGGTCGTCCGGCTGCAACTGTATGGCGCATTCTGCTGCCACTAGCACGTGCCAATTCTGCAGCATCTGTTATGTTGCAAGTTGGCAATGCTTCAAAATTTAATGTCTATTGCATTGCAGGTGATATGTGTTTAGTACAGTACACCTGAGGCACCTAAGGCACGAAAAGGCAAGAACATAATTCAAATTAAATGCTGACCTGCCAGACAGGTCAGTTGTCCGGACACCGCGTCGGGCAGCGAACATCCGTCGATGATGATGCCCAGCAGTGATTTGGCAAACGTTGTAGCATATAATCCTCTCAAGTCCCAGACGGCACGAATCTCTGATGCGGACTAGCGGCCCAAACTGTTGGTCGGACGGTTGCCCTTTCATCAGAAATCAGCCGACTTCACCTTTATCACACTGTACTGATAGATCACATAGGATCCATCCTCGGAAGGGCAGGGACTCGGAGTTCTGCTGCGGCCGGACTCGGACTCGTCCTCTTCACACTCCGACCAGAAAGAGGCCGGCGAACTCGAGCGTGATCTGGAAGACGACGAGGGAGGACTCACTGTTGGTGAGGTGGAGGTGGCCATTGGGCTGCATATGACTTTCGAGCTATCACTGAGACGTCCTCGCGTCACGCCAGCGTCTCCAAACTTCTTGGAGTCACCGTGTGCGCCGTCTTTGACCTGCTCACCCTGAGAGCTCTTGAAGCTCTCCAGGCACGGCAGTGAGATGCGTCGTTGCGGCTGCAGCTGGGGTGCCCTCTGAATCTGCGTCGACATTCCTGGCCGCTCGCTCGCCATTAGGCACGAGCGCCTACGTTGCCCTGATTGGGCTAGCCCTCTTGAGAGAGTGGCTGAGGGACGATGTCTTCTTCTGAACAAGCTGAAACGAAACACACTGCTGGTGAAAGAATGGGTAGCAGTCGTGGACGGGGCTGCTGGTGCTGGAACCACACCACTACTACTACTACTACTACTACTCCTACTCCTACTCCTACTCCTACTCCTACTCCTACTCCTACTCCTACTCCTACTCCTACTACAACTACTACTACTACTACTACTACTACTGCTACTGCTACTGCTACTGCTACTGCTACTGCTACTGCTACTACTACTACTACTACTACTACTACTACTACTACTACTACTGCTACTGCTACTGCTACTGCTACTACTACTACTACTGCTACTACTGCGACTGCGACTGCGACTACGACCACGACTACTAATACTGGCAGCAACAACGGCAGTAAGGAAAGTCATAGCAGCTGTCGCAGCGAAAACGACACTCTTGCAGCCACCCCAGAAGCAGTAGCGGGAGCAATTGGCAAGCTGCAACGGTGGCGGTAGCAGTAGCAGTGGCCGGGCAGTCACAAGGGCAGCATCAGCAGCCAAACAAAACAGAAGAATGGGTATAAAGGTATAACAGATTTTGTCAACAGCGCACCACAAGCAGCAGAAGCAACAAACGCATGCAGCGGTGAAAAGTTGCGAGACGGCTGAAGATACTAGCAGCGATGGTAGTGGTGCATCTGCGGTTCCTAGCACGCTCATCTTCTTCCTCTTGATGCCTCTTCTCATTACTCTACTCGTGGTCCTCCTACCCCTGCTTCCTCCACCTCGTACCAGTGCGACGACAACAACTAGTGCCGAGACTGCCGCCAATGACTACCACCACCACGACCATGACCACGACTACCACCACAACCACCACTGACACCACTGACACCACCACCAGCACCACCAGCACCACCAGCACCACCAGCACCACCAGCACCACCAGCACCACCAGCACCACCAGCACCACCACCACAACCACCAACTGCTAGTACTACTACCACTACTACGACGACTACTACTACGACAACAACACCTACTACTACTGCTGCTGCTGGTGCTACTACTACTACTGCTGCTTCTTCTGCTGCTTTCAGTATGACAGTTTGCAGTACAATGTATCGTAGTATATTGCCATCTATGCATGGTATTAGGGGCCTCAGGCTGCAACCACTACTTGACAGTGTCGCGAAGCTGCACTGGGCTCTTTCTAAATCCCTTGCAAACCACAGCTTGGAGAGACAAAAGTCCACGTCGTAAATTTCGCGAAGCCGAAACGGAGATCAAAATGGAAATGAGGATCATATGTGTGACGATGATGACGGTGGCGATGATGACAACGATGCCAATGACGATGATGGTGATGATGATGACGATGATGATAGAATTTTGGTTAATCTGAGTAAGTGTGATACCGACAAGCCTATCTCTGCATCTTGTGGCATTGCCTTGATTTTTACTGTCCTTAGAATGTCGAGCTTCAGTAAGCCAGCGGAACGCAATATGCACAAGCCTTCCCAAGCCCAACCCTGACATCAGCCTGAGTAGGACTAAGACTAAGACAAGTTCGTGCTCGGGAATCCCAACAAGTTTGCATGGCAGACGTGGGAATGGCCGTCTCGCCCTGACGGTCGCAGTAAGTGGCGTCCTTGAGCCCGCTGCTGTTTGGCTTTGGGGTTCACGGTTCCGTTGAGGGTTGAGCTGCAAGCGACTGCAAGGATTTACTCTCTGTTCACTGGATGTTTCGTGCGGGGCAGTTGATGGAGCTCAAGGCCAATGCCAAGATCGACGTGCTGCCACCGGGTGAGCTTTATCCCTTTAGGCGCAAGGTTTTTCAAAAGGTCGGGCCTTTGGTGGGACTGATACAACCTCATGCACGGCACAGGTTGAGCCACGCATAACTCGTCAGGAAGTTTCCGCTGACAAGTTTGACCGTGGCAACTTTACATCCGTTGGCTTGACTGGTTTCATCAAGACGAGGCAGAAACGAAGCTTCTCCAAGTGTGGACACCGAGATCGGGGCATCTCCAACAAATCGTAAGGCAATGCGTCGGTGCTGCGATCCTGGCACCTGTTGCCGAGCGGTTGTTCGTTTCAGGCCACTTCAAAGCTAGCTGTGAGCGTCGCCTAGAAAACAGCAGCGATATGTGCATGCGGCTCATTCGCACTCGAGGGCAGGATGCGAAATTTGGAGTTCGTCAATCCATAGCTATATTATATATGCTATCGGGGAGCGCATCTTGGCTCCGAACACGGCGAGAGCACCACAGTGTTGGGTCCAAGAAGCAAACACACACACACACACACACACACAAGCAAGTATCAGTATGCCTTTCCCACCCTTGGCCCGAAGCATTCGCCTCTGGATTGCCAGGAGAGCCATGCACAATGCCTCCGTGCATTTCTCACGACCGCAGCTTATCTATCACGCGACCTGAAAGCTTGAAGTTGAAACTGAATCGAAGTTGCAGCCACACATCCTCTGCCACATTCAAACACGAAACACATAAACATTCTCCCAAAAGCGGTCTCCAAGCTGGTGGTGTTGCCAGGGTGATGAAAGCACTATGAATTCTACCGTTCTGCCGACGGTGCAGCTCATAAAGCCATATCCTTGTCCACCCACCACCAGGACTACTGACATAAGTGCTGTTGATGCTGCTTCTACAGCTACTGCTGCTGCTGCTGCCACTCCTGCTCCTGAACCTACTCCTACTTACTACTGGTGCTGCTGCTACTACTGCTACTACTACTACTGCTGCTACTACTACTACTACTACTACTACCACTACCACTACCACTACCACTACCACTACAACTACCACTACCACTACCACTACTACTACTACTACTACTACTACTACTACTACTACTACTACTACTACTACTACTACTACGACCACCACGACGACTACTACTACGACTACTACTACTACTACTACTACTACTACTACTACCACGACGACTACTACTACGACTGCTACTACCACCACCGACGACGACGGATGCTCTTCTCCTCCTTCTGCAGCACTCACATCACCAGCAGCAACAGAACGACTGGCAAGACGAACTCAGCGTTACTGACAATCAGTGTTCAAGGTTTAGGGGGGCGGGTTTAGGGTTTAGGGGTTTAGGGTTCAACTCTCGCCGATATCGACAACGGCTCTTGGCAGGCCCGGGGCTCTGGCGAGCATCGAAGCAAAGGGCATCTCCGGCTCGCACATCGTAGGCCAGGGAAGATGCACGGCCTCAGGATCAATTCCCCGGTCAGGGCTGCGTTTCGGATATCAAGATGATTTGCAACTGCACAGTGTTCTAAACCAAGCGTTTTAGGATATCCGTTGAGTACATCCGGGCTGATTTGAGCAGTAGCCTGCGGCAGCATTTGAAGCCACGAGTGACAAGGGCGGATCTAGACTCAGATCGATCTGGCGACAATAGCAACTACCCAACTCCCCGGTGGCACCTTCCTTCAGCAACTCGTCCACGTTCGGTAAGGAGGGCAAGTCATCTCGGCCTCCACAAATCCACAAACCACACTGTTAACTCGCAGGACTGTCTGCTGTGTTGCAGTACCCAACCAAGCGGAAAGGATTCTGGAAAAGTGACTACTACTACCACTACTACTACTACTGCTGCTGCTGCTGCTACTACTACTACTACTACTACTACTACTACTGCTGCTTTTCAAGACGAAGATTGCGAGTTGAACACTATCGAAGCTCAAGATCGCTGATGTAGTCTACCATCATGACCCCTAGGTATATATACCCTTAATATAGCTATTATATACCCATTATATAGCCCATTATAGGGTAGGGCCGGGGTCCCCATTAAGATGATGAGCCGATGAGGAACTCCCCACCAAGAGACGAAGCAGCCTGACCTTCTCGACCCGGAATTTCTCAACCCGAACCCAGAAAACTGAGTTGCTGGAGAGCCTTCGTAGGGCGAATGATCCACGAAGTGCTGTGGCCGAAAAAGTCCCCAGGCCTCGGCTAGCTAGGGTGCCATGTTTTTGTTTTGCGGTTAAAGATTAATTAGAAGGATCTGAAAGAGAGGAGGGTACGTGAGAATCTGCCACAGTGTGTGTGTGTGTGTGTGATGGACACACGGCATTTTTTTGACGGGGCGTGCACAAATCAGCGCCATGCGCACAGTGTTTGCGATCGGTCGACACATGGAAGAGCTCCCTAGCCCACATGGCAGTGCACAGAATTTGGATCAGAACCGTTTCCGAAGACTAGCTAAAAACACAATCACGCGCTGCTAGCCTTGGCAGTTGGTCGGTTTGCATCTTTCGAACGCTTCGGCATTCTTTTCTCTGCTACAAAAGAATCCACCAGCCTTCTCACACCAAATAAAATGGCTTGGCTAGGGCACATGTCCTTGGGGCTCGAGGCGGCTGCTACATGCTGCAGAAACCGTTGTCAAACCCGGTCGCGCCGGCCAAGCTAGTCTATGCCAAACGTAGAGCTCGTGTAAGCAATCTGAGTTGCCCGGGGATCTTGTCTTGAAGACACGTATACTATTTGGGCTAGAGTAGATCTACAACTTCCCGTTTACTCATGTCCAGAGTGCATCGAGAGCCCAGCGTGAGATCCTCGAATGTATCGCACGCTGGCTAGCAGTGGCATGTCATCCAAAGCAATCCAAACCTTAGAGGCGGCAAGAACATGAAATCTTGCCAAGACTCGCGAACGTTATGCTCTAGCTTCACACTTGCACCGGATGCCGGCGGAAGCAAACTGAGACACGAGCGGATCCGATCTGACCACCCTCCACCTGTGCTGAGCGATGTCTTGGCTGTGCGAGGGGCAGACAAAAACAAGCGGCCAAGCTACAACCCCGCCACCCGACATGCTCTGCAAACTAGCCTCGGTATTCATGCGTGAAGCTGGCTACAGCGCGAAGGCATCATTCCACCTCCATCCCTTTATGCGCAGATATGACAAGTGGCCCGTGTGGCGCAACTCCAGAAGCTTCAAGCCCTGAACCCTTATCAGAACACTGAAGCTTCAACCATTCCTCAAGCGCCGCAACGGACAGCCATCCACCTGCAAGACATCACTAGCTGTGGCACTGTGTATGTAAAGCCCCAAATCCGCCCATGCCTCACCCAGTTCTTGAGAGCTGGAAACCTCAAACCATTACGACTTCAAAGAGGCTACACATCCTACACACTTGGCCCCCGCAATAAACTTTGCTCGCCCCGAAGCCTTAAAGCCTGACACACTCTCGAACCCGCGCATCTTCATTCACCCTGAATGATTTACCTCTTGAAGTACATACAGTCACAGTACAGGAAGCCTGAAAAGGTAGGTGTGTTCGGGTCCAGGTAGAGAAACCCAGGCTTGTAAAGATTCAGACCCTTTGCCTTCCAGTACGGCAAATCCTGGTGCCACGGGATGGCCTGGGAAAGAGACCTATGTACCCCAATTGGGGATTCTAACAAGTATAGTTACCTTAGGAGGCCCTCAACATGATAGGGTTTAGGCTTTATAGGGATTGGGGCTGCAGCAGGGTCTGTGCGGCTCAGAAGTTCTTTAGTATGGGTTAAGCATGTTAACAAGGGTGTATAAAGCTGGTATTTGGAGCTTTTAAAACTCCGGGCGCAGGGCCTCATAGGCATTGGATTACACGGTCTGGGTTTTGGATATTCTGCCACTCGACACCGGTGTTGCTTACATTGCATGCCTTCGCCTCTCCCTAAACCCTAAACTCTAAACCCCAATGAAGCCCAAACCCTAAACCCTAAACCCTAAACCCTCAATCCTAAACTCAAGGCTTAGGCCGCCCACCTTTGTGGGTGGGCGGCGCTTAAGCCCCTGGACCTCGATGGCGCACAGCGACCCAATACGCTCGCCCGCCTTTCTAGGCCTGCCTGGCCCCTGGTGGGGCTTGTGGCTTCCTGAGCCTTGCCCTGCCTGCCTCCCTGCCCTGCCCTGTCCTACCCTGCCCTGCCCGCTACACCAACAAGCAAGAAATAGAGAAAACCATGGAATGAGGTCATAGGTGCTAAACCCTAAAAGGAATGGGTTTGGGTGGTTTGGCCACCGGCATGGGGTAGGAAAGTTAAAAGAAAAGAGCCGTCCACAATCAGGCTCCAACGACCAGTCCTCATTTTACGACGCACTCGACATGACACTGTCGCAAGACATCCCCGCTTATGCGCCACTCTACGGCAAACCCTAAACCCTAAACCCCAAACCCCCCCTAAACCATAAATCCTAAACCCCAAACTCTGAACCATAAATCCTAAACCCCAAACTCTGAACCATAAATCCTAAACCCCAAACTCTGAACCCTAAACCCTAAACCCCAAACCCCCTAAACCATACATCCTAAACCCCAAACTCTGAACCCTAAATCCTAAACCCCTATGCCAGGGCCTTCTGGCTCCCACCGCGCTTGAGGATGGCGTGCAGGTAGAAGAAAGACACGGAGGCCTCATGCCCAGAGACTCCAAAAATCCGGTAATTTAAGGAATTTCCTGAAATCAAATTAGGGCCACTAGGACTCCGATATCCCTTAATTGAGGAAGATTCCTTAGATCATATTAAGGATCTCAGTATAATTTATGGTATATGCCTCAATTAAGGGATGTTGGAGTCGCTGGGTGGTCAACATGTGCCGCATGGAGGAGGTTGCCACTAGAGTGTGGGAACATAGTCAAGAAACCCCCGGCTCTGGAAGCATGTCAAGAAGGCAAGAAATACATACATGCCTCAACTTATACACGACTACATACCTGTAACTATAAAATGGTTCATACATGTATGTGTGTATTACATCGACGTTTGCGTGTGTGTGTGTGTGTGCATATATGTATATATATATATATATATATATATATATATATATATATATATATATATATATATATATGTACCTATCTATCTATCTATCTATATATATATATGGTCACGCCCCCCCATGATCCATACCATGGTTTTTTCTACCTCCTGCTGCTCATGCTTCGATTTCTACATGACTTCACCTACATACAAAATCATTGGTATTTGCGGTCTTTTCTGCACCTAGCATCTACTTAGCTCTACATGTTGTAATTTGTTCTCACATGTTATATCCCCACGAAACCCGAAACGGATTCTGATTTCACTTTCGGGCTCCGCTCTTCCATCCAAAACCTCGCACTCCATGTTTCAGAAGGCATCACCGGTGGTTGTGCAATAACTTCAACATGTTGCCTGTCACTGTCGCCATGTTTTGGTGCCGATGCCAATACTCAAACTGGCAGCTTCGAATCTTCCTGGTCATTGCCTGATTGCCTGGAAAGCGTGACACATACTTCAAGTGTGTTCATAATATTATAGTACTAACGCTAATACTACTACTAATTCTTATCACAATATTTATACTAACATCAATATTTGCAATAGTATTGATACTCCTACGAGTACGACTACATAAACTCTTGTGGTGTTAACAATAATGCTATCACCAGCACTGATACGGATATTGATAATCTGTTGAATATTCATGAATGCCAGTACTATTCCCAGCATGAACACTTATATTATGGCTAATACGACTATGAATAGTCTTAATTCTAAAATCAACATTAAAACTCCTACGGATACCAATAGTATATTCGTATTGATATGAATGCTAATCTTTTTACTAATAGACACCTGCATATACTAATGTACATAAAAATACATACCACTATCTTAAGATACAGATATATACACTAGTGCATCCATGTACTAATGTTTTGGCATAAACATATACCCATATACCAATGTAATAATATACTCCCCGTTAATGTATGAATATACTATACTAATATGCGAGTATACTAATATACGACTACTGCAACATGCAAGTATACCGACATGACAAATTAGTAGGCTAATATGCCAACATACTGATATACTTGTAAATATGACTAGACAATACATGAATATAGCACACATACTAGTAAACTAATACACCAATATACTAGTGTACCCGTGCACCAGTTGTGCTAACATATCAAATATACAAGTATACAAGTATACAAATATGTTACTGTTCGAATGCATTAATAATATATTGATATACTAGTCTGCTACTGTACGAAACTATCAATATTCTAACATATCAAAACTAGTTCTAGTATTGATACTAATACTAACACTTCTGCGAGTATAAGCTGCGGTTAAAACCCAACATTAAGACTGACACTGATACTAGCAGTGGTGCTGTATTACTGACATTGACACTGGCACTAGCGCTAACTCTAAAACGAGCATGAGCCGTGACACTAATTTATGTTTACTAATACTGACATGTATACTATCACAGCAAACACTAGTACTAATATTATTAAGAACAGTACTCATCCTAATATCGATACTTCCACAAAACTATCACGTAACTCATGTGCCGCGCGTCTGGTGCATGCGTCCTCAGTACATGGCATGTCAAAGTATATGTTGTATATCTATTGCAAATGTTTTACTTTACAGATTGTCGTCGGGTGTGGTGTGCTTTGATACAATATCTCAAAGAATTGGTGGCATCGAGAGCATCTTGCAAGGATATGTCACCCCCGTCGCGGATCATGCTGGAAAAGAGGAAAAGAGGGACACAAACGATGACTTTCACTCGGGAGAGAACTGCAACGGATATGTCGTGGAACATACCGCACCTTGACATGGCATTAAAACAAAGCATATGCCGTGTGTATACACGTGACAAACAAAGACATAATAGGAACACAGCATCCAAGGTTAGCAAATGCCGCCTGGCTCGAAAATCCCCAAAATTTGTAAAGCCTGAAATTCGAAAACATCGGCAGGGATCAAAAATCCCCAAAATTCCCAAAATCGTGGCATCTATGGGGCCATGGGTGTTTAGTTTTGCAAAACTTTGGGGATTTTCGAGCCTGGCAATGTTTTAGCATCCGACGTTGACGAAATGCCGCCAGGCACGAAAATCCCCAAAATTTGTAAAGCCTGAAATGCGAAAACACTGGCAGGGATCAAAAATCCCCAAAATTCCCAAAATCCTGGCAACTATGCGGAGTGCGGGGCCATAGTCTCTCACATATTGGGGATTTTGGGGATTTTTGATCCCTGCCAGTGTTTTCGCACTTCAGGCTTCAGGAATTTTGGGGATTTTCGAGCCTGGCAGTGTTTTAGCATCCGACGTTGACGAAATGCCGCCAGGCTCGAAAATCCCCAAAATTTGTAAAGCCTGAAATGCGAAAACACTGGCAGGGATCAAAAATCCCCAAAATTCCCAAAAATCCTGGCAACTATGCGGAGTGCGGGGCCATAGTCTCTCACATATTGGGGATTTGGGGGATTTTTGATCCCTGCCAGTGTTTTCGCACTTCAGGCTTCAGGAATTTTGGGGATTTTTTCGAGCCTGGCAGTGTTTCAGCATCCGAAGCTGCCCACCTCCCATGATCCACTGCTTACCAAAAGCAAGCATAGTATGGATCATGGGGGGGGGGCGTAAGCATATATGTGTATATATATATATATATACATATATATGCTTAAAACGAAGTAGTACGGACCAGATGGAACAAGTTGGAGGATGCACTTCTGCAAGAACGGAGGGTAGAGTTGGTGCAAATGACGTTTAATACCCGAAACCCTAAACCCCCATAAATCCGAAACCCCATAACATCAAACCGTGCTCCAGCGGAGGTGAATGACGACAGGGCTTATTCAGTACTCGGCTCACCGGAACCTGGCACGCTTGTAGTCGAACTCTTGCACAAGCTTAAGCTGGACTACTGAAGATTGGAATTGCATCGGTGCTGAAACACTACGAAGTTCATTGGAGCATCGCAGGGGCTCCAAGCTGAGCCCATGAGCTTTGCGATGATCTCAGCGGCGTGCGAGCGGATGACAGGCTGCCACTCCTCGCAGGAGAAGAGGGCTCAGCATTCGCAAGCGCATCAGACCTTGCTCTTGTAAGGCTTTCTTGTATATTCCTGTGCACCCCATGAACATCTGGTGTGCGCTTCGAAAGCCAGAAACTTCTCGTAGATGCCTTTTACAATGAGAGTTGGCTCCCCCGAAGACCCTTGCAACTGCAGATTCGGCTGATTCATGGTTCTTGGACTGTCTGTGCAAAAACCCTCCGAAACCGAGACGCCGGCCGGGAGTCTGTCTTCTGTCTCCTGGAAGAAGACCTGCTGAACAGTGATGGCTATTCTCAATATATACACACTGGTGTGTAGCGTTCTGGAGAAATATGCAGAGTCTGATTCGAACGTATAGTGTCCTTTGCGATCCAACATTAATAAGAAGATATACACACACGCACGCACACACGCACACGCACACGCACACGCACACGCACACCCGCACACCCGCACACCCGCACACCCGCACACCCACACACCTACACACCCACACACCCACACACCCACACACCCACACACACCTCACATTCAAACATGCATAGCGACGTACGTGGTAGCCATCCATCCATCCCTCCCTCCATGAATGATTGCAGTGACCTGCTGCCAATCGGCACTGCCAGCACCACCCCAGGTCATCACAGCAAAAGCATGTTAGTTCAGTTGTACTGCTGTGCTGCTGTAACTACCATTATTTTTAATGTAGTCTATACTGTACTTATGTACTACACGAGCATCATCGGGAAAGGATCAGAAGGAACCACAGGCCGGACAAAGACACACACGCACACACAGGGTGTTTTTGATGGCCTGATCCTGAAACATCTCCACTTCGCGCCTGTACGAAAGGAGCATGTCGACAACATCTGCACTGCATGTCTGCTTGGTTTTGCATAGGAGCGGGAAGCTAAGTGTCTCGTTGCACCTGACCTTTTGCCGCAAACGCGAGACACCAACAAAGCGAGCTTCGTGACATCTGAGTCAACGGCGTTTGGGCGCCCTGCTGGAACATGGTGTCCCAAGTAGTGCCATGAGCAATGAACTCGGCGTGTTTACCTGCAACCCGCCAAGCGTACTTCGACAAGGGGAAGGAGGTGTTAAAACAAATGCGGAACTCTCAACCCGAATTCTCGGCGGCCTGGTCGTTGCATCCCTGCGTGGAAAGCACCTTGCAAGTAGCGCACCCACTCTTGGCCTCAGCTGGCAAACGTGGAAGCATGAGAACAAATAATGTGCTCAAAACTACTGGCTAGGGAACTGAAGCATAGGGTGTCGTGCACACAAGTTCTGAACACCACGTCAGACCCAAGCACCTTTTCCTGCCACAGTTACTACTATAGGCATTAGAGTGTGGAGAGCAATACAAATGGTACCGGAGTTAGAACCTCTCTCGCACAAGTCACAATCGGGCTTGTAGTAGCCATAGCAACCAAACGGAGGCTGCAGAAGTTCAAAAGCCTAAGGATTCAACGGCACACCGAGCGTAAACATGCTAGACAGCCCTTGCAAGTCCAAGAGCTCGTCCAAGGCTCGGGCTGAAAACGCCAGGCAGGTGGACAACGCCGTCTTCTCGATAAGCCTGTTTCGGGCCATGCAAATACTGTAAGTACGGTCGGGGCAATACATAGCCTTCAGTCTGTCAAAAGCTTACTTACTGACTTACTGACCGGCGATCGCCATGTCCGTTTGCTTAAGCTCACACTGCTGTTCTTGCTATCATTGAAGTGACGGTCAAGGTGTTGATGGATGATGGTGATGACGATTCGATAACCGTGATGGACAATGACAAAGCTGATGACGACACTACTACTCCTGCTACTGCTGCTAGTACTACGCTACTACCACTACTACTACCACTACCACTGCCACTTCTTCTTCTACTGCTACAACTACTATACTACTACTACTACTACTACTACTACTACTACTACTACTACTACTACTACTACTACTACTACTACTACTACTACTACTACTACTACTACTACTACTACTACTACTACTACTACTACTACTACTACTACTACTACTACTACTACTACTAGGCCTTCCCCCCCTGGTGCGACGCCGGTCGCTGAGTTCGTGGATGTACAACATGTTCCATCACAGCTGTCGCGGTCCAAGATGCGGCGTAGCAAGGACAAGGATCGTCCACACCGCTGCAGTAAATGTCAGCAGGTGGGACATAGAAAAGACAGTTCGAAACGTCCTTTCTACGATGGATCGACGCCGGAGAAGCCGCAGAATGCTCTGTTGGCTAAGTTTGCACCTGCTTACTTGGAGCAAAATGTGAGAGGGAGAACATTAGTTTCGCTCAAACAACCTTGCTTGATGAGTGCACGGGCTTTTACAGAAGTGTCAGGTGTGCAGAAGCTTCAGAAGTTGGGCATGTTGCCGATGTTGCGTAAAAGACACTGCTGGAAGTGCGGCAGAGGCTTTTTCAAAATGCGCTAGACCATGGACGTCATTAGGTTTTGGACATGGATGCTCTCCAAACCAAAATGCGCTAGACCATGGACGTCATTAGGTTTTGGACATGGATGCTCTCCAAACCGAAATGCGCTAGACCAGGGACGTCATTAGGTTTTGGACATGGATGCTCTCCAAACCAACGATTTGAATGAAAATCATGATCAAAATGAGGCCCAGAAAACCTTGATTCTGATCGCTAGGGTTTGGGCACGAAAATCGAGACACCCAAAAACAGTAAAAAATCATGAAATTCGCAAAGACAAGTGCTGTAAATACCAGCATTTTCGGGTGCGAGATTGGTGAACAATGTTAGAAAATATGATAAAAATACACACGAAACCAGGAACAGTTGCCACTTTCGATAACTGCGGAAAAAAGTGCTGTAAAACACAGCATTTCCGACCACAGCAAGTCCCAAAAATAAGAGGTTTGGGCGTCGCACCGGGGGGGGAAACTACTACTACTACTACTACTACTACTACTACTACTACTACTACTACTACTACTACTACGACTACTACGACTACTACGACTACTACGACTACTACTACTACTACTGCTACTACTACTACTACTACTACTACTTCTACGACTACTACTACTACTACTACTACTACTACTACTACTACTACTACTGCTACCACAAGGACGACTACGACTACTACCACTACTGCTACCACAACGACGAGGACCAACAACTGCTCTGCTACTGCCACCACTACTTCTCCTGCTGCTGCTGCTACTACTACCGCTACTACTTGCTACACTACTAATTCCGGCTGCTGCCGCTACCACTACCGCCACTACTACCGTTACTTCTGCTGCCGCTGCTGCTGGTGCTGTTGATTGCTGCCGCTGCCACCGTGGCGACTGCCACTGCTACTGCTGTGACACCTACTGCTACATGTACATGCAGTGGTGGTGCTTGCAGTAGCATGAATAGTCATGGTGCAGTAATGGTGGTAGAAGTCGCAGTTACCTCGGCTCCACGGAAGGAGCCCCCGCCATTCTGTTTCAAACATGACGACCGAGTAATCTGCACCCTGGGGGAGGCCTCCACATGCCTCGGGGTGACTTCGAAGTCGCCACGGCTGAGCGCTTCAGCCGGCATTCTTTGGGCTAAAGTTGCCTGCCGAGGATCCAAAAAAGGAGAGTTAGCAAATTTCCAGAACATCCATGGAGTACAGGGGGTTACCATACTGGAATCTATACAGGAATCCTAGATGGAGCCACTCTACGGCGACTCTAGGGGGTTATTAAATGGGCTTGGAAGACTGTCGGGGTCAAAGGCGCTGTGGAGGTTTTCCACTTCAGGAGATGGGGTCAAAGCTTGGGGCTTCTGAGCGGTTCTGTCCAACCGGGAGTGCCAAGTACACGCAAAACAGGTACCTTCCGACTGTTATATTATTGTTACTATTATTATTATTATTACTGTTATTATGTGCGACTGTCGGCCCAGAACAGGAGAGTTTCCCTGCTTTAGTATGACACTTCTGCCAGTTTCGGCTAGATTGGAAGTGGTCATGCATTGAAGGTGCGCCGTCCTCAAACGCGGGAAGGTTGCTATTCCTCATGCAACCTTGCAAACTTGGGATCCAAAGCCACCTCTGACTGCCATACCATACGGGGTGCTACATACAAGGGCTAATACAAGGATACCCCATTGCTCGTACGGCCCTTGCAGTATGCCGTGGAGCCTTGCAGCGAGCATGGCGCAGGGCGGCACAGCTACCCGAGAGCCTGTCACAATTCTTCTGAAAGGTTTCGAAGCACAGAGATTTACCGTCAATACTTCTGAAAAGCTCTTGCTATCAGATACTCTGGCTGATGAGGGGTGTAGGGAATTTGAGGATGGAGTGGGCAGCACCTCCTGCACTGCCCGATCTTGTAAGACCGGCCGAGAATCCAAAATCTCGAGGCCGAGAAGGGTACAGTTTATTTGTTTTAAGAAGGGCTTTCTGTTTTAAAGAAAAGGGCTTTGGGATATAGCTTTTCGCTTCTTCTTGGGACTTTGGGACTGTTTCTGGGCTGCAAGGTCTCGGGGGCTTTGGGATTGTGGGTGGAGGGCTCCAGGTCTTGGAGGTTTCGGCAGTCTACGAGTCCACCATTTTCATTCTACTCCTGGGCTGTACGAGGGTGGTAAGGCTGAGCGAACTCGCGAATTACGATAAGACGGTCGAAACAAAAAGAAACACCAGCGGCGTACAAGAACTCGTCTTTCAAGCTCCCGGGGTTAAGATTGTAAAGAAAAGGCACAAATCAAACACATCTAAACTAAAACTGGTAGAACATGGGGGCCTTCATAAGTAGAATAGGGATTGGGCTTTGTAGTAAGTTAACGTGCATAAGTACTTAGAATGTGTCACCCTAAGGAACAGTACTGCTGATTTGCCGGGCCCCAAAATGTTATTGGTGGGACTGACAAGGACTGTCGAGTCTCGGAGTTGCGTCCGACTGCACACAGCGACTCCGGCTGACTTTAATGAAGTGAACCGATGGCCTGCGACAGGCAGCAAGGGACCGGGAGGCTGACATGCTCGCTCCAAGCTCAGGAGAGCAGGAATTTCATTAAGTTGCTGTTTTTTTTTTGCACGGTTGCCTCTATCTCTGTGTGTGTGCGTGTGTCTACACCTGTATCTCCCCTCGTTAATGCAAGTCATGCTAGTACTGGAGGCTGTGTTTGCGTCATATTGCACGGCACCTTCGCCGGTGTAACCTGGACTCACGCTCTGGATGAGGAGATACGTGGATTTTATAGTGTGTCAGAACTCCGGCCCATGAGACACTCTTGAATGTAGCAGAGGAATCCCCAAGCTCGTGAAAGAATTGTGCTACTAGCCGCTCTGTCTGTGTACTGACTTGTGATGTCACATGCAGATGATGCACAAGCTCAAACTATCACCACTAGTGCAATCACTTCAAAGTATTTTTCAGAGGCCTGCTTAACAAGCACAGGAAAGGGTCTATGGAAGCAGTCGGCGTAAACCAGCGCAGGAATCTTGAGTCATGTGGAGCGGCAAAATACTTGCAGCAACTTGCCTACCTGCATAAGGCTCTATCAAGATGCCCACGCTGGAAGGAAAATGTGCCGTCGCATCCGCGTTGGGACGTAGGCTTAGCCAGTGCTCCGTTATGCTAGCCAGGAACAGTGGAGAATCTGGCGTTGACCTGGGCAGAAGACCACGCAATGTCCCCCTGCTTGTTTGTCCCTGTAACTCTCGGACCAAAATGCTGGGCTTGCCCCCACTGACACTCGTTACAAGAACCGGGCATGAATCCCGAATGTTCTTGGCATGGTCTCATCAAGTCTCCTCAACAGCAGGGACTTTTCTCGGGCCCAGCTGAACGATGACGAACGCTGGGAGGACCTGCATCAAAGGCTTCTGGCACGGATCCCTGGCTCAACATGGGATGCGAACAAAGTCGTCACGTGTCATGATCGTCACAATCAGGAGAACAAGCTCTGCCATGTTTTGATACCGTAGGCTCTCGGGTCGCACCTACTCGCCTTTGTCATCATCCTTGGCCAAGTTTCTGCTCCGTTCTGCAAATCGTCACGGTTCTTCTAGCTTTCGTCTCATGCCTTGCTTCGACGTGTGCCTTGCCGCACCCACTGTTGTTTCAGGTTCGATCTGCTTCCAGAGTTTATGCTCGTGGTCTATCGCGGTATCCTTCTTGCCTTCTCTCCTTCCTTTTTTTCGTTCGTTGTGTGCCTACGGCTTAAAAGCGGATCTCTCGGCATCGTTGTGTGATTTTTGAATCTATGGATCTTCCTAATCCAATCCAAACAAATTTCATCTAAATCTAGCCTCGTCTCACCTAGAATCTATAACCTTACCCACTGTCCTAGTGTAATGTACCTGATCTATATCAAACCCAGTCTGTATATCGATGTATCTGTCTGTCCTCTCTAACCCGTGTTTAATCTAATCTGAGCTTCTATGTACATGCATCACCGTCTTTCTGAAGCTGCCACGGTTCTAGCAGGTCGGTGAAAAGGAATGTGGTACTTGTCCGAAATCTAAACCCCAAACCCGAAATCCTAAACCCTAAACCCAAAACCCGAAACCCTAATCCCACAAAGCCTCTACAGGAAATCCCGAAGCTTCATCAGCCGCCGTCGGCGGCTGGGTGCCACAGCGAGGGCCTGCGCAGGATCTCCAAGTCATGCATAGGGCACACCTATGAGTCTACATGGTAGGTCCTTTTTGAACTACAGTGGAGACTATACCTTAAACCCTAAACCCTAAAGTATAGGCACAGGATTCCATGTGGGCAAGGCTTCGGAGAGTTTGGGACAAGACTCGGACAAGACCTAGACCTTTACAATCTCCAGGACCGCCTCCAGTTTCACGACAAGGCTGTGGCACCCGAGGTTGCGGGACGGCAGAAATTATGCTCCGGCTTTCCGGTTTAGGATTTCTTGTGAGTGGCCGGGACTTCGAGCACTTATGTGAGAATCTGCCATTTGGGCGTAAAGTTTGTTGAAGACAAGAAGCCGTCGGTCGAACATGTGCCATTCTGTCGCTCCATCGGTAGCTAGGCGACCCTCATGTGTCACACGTGAATCCGTGCACCCTGACTACGATGCTCATTGTGATCAAACATGTTGAGCACCTGCCTATGAGGGGGAGGGGGACAGGAGAGAGGAAGAGACAGACTAACTAATCGAGATTAAGGTTCTGAGCACTTCCAAGCGACAAGAATGATGCGCAACCCTGACTGTGCACGGAAACAAGAGTCGAGGGTCCTCGATGACTCCGACGGCACTCGCTTGCACAAGGCCAGGCGCTCGGGAGGACGACCTGGACGAAGAGTTCTGGTTTGCAAGGTGCTTGTCATACTCTTCTCAGCCACCTCTCCGTAGTAATCGAGGAAGTTATCGGAAGCGGCCGAGCAGACTGATCATGATCGCAATCTTAAGATGGTCATGAGACTGGCAAAAGCAAGAGGAGCAAGACATCTGCGAGTTCTCGCCATGAGGAGCGGAAATCACCGCATTCCTTTCGGCCCGGCCATACGTGCCGATTGCTTCAGACGGAAACCTTAACACCATCAACCCACGACCCCAAACAATGAAAGAACACCAAGTCCAAGCCCATCATGCCGAAGAAACATTCCAGAGTCAGAGTAACCACTGTCTGGGGAATACTGCAAACATCCTAAAGCGCCTGAGCCTTCCTTCCAACCACCGCACCTCATATCGATCAACAACCGATTAAGAACATCTCCAAGCAACGAACATATACAGCGTCTGAGCTAGAAGCATGGAACCTTAAGAAACCCGCTATGCAGCACTGTGAATCCCTTTCCCCACTCTCTCTCTCGCTCTCTTGCCTGGGCTTTGCCGGGCAATTTGCATCGACGAGCTTGGCGGCCTTCTGCAGGAATAAGCTGGATGACCTCGCGGGGTGTAGAAATGTAGAGGCTTCTCTGGGGCGGGTGTGAGGGGTGGCCTGAAGCTTCGGCACTTTCGGTGATGTTGAGAAGGTGTGCTGCTGCTACAAGGGGGCGCGGGAGAGCGTCGCCATACCGCCCAACCAAAGTGGGCCACCAGGCCCCACCTCCTGTCGCCTCCAATAATACCACCTATAAGCACTAGATCCAAAATGTGCGCCCTGCTGCAAAGTGACTGGTCCAGGTACGCATCCTGAAGCTCTTTGCAGTCATCCCTCGTCCAGCGACCTTTATCCTCGGTCTGAGGGCTGCTGGCTTCTTTGGGAGCACTTTCATAAACGTTCTGTTGTCGACTGCGTGCGCGAACGAGAAACACCAGCTGGACAGCAAAATGAAGTCAAAAAAGGCTTGCGGTTACACAAGCACACACACTCACTCACACTCCCCACAACGACATTCCGAATCAAAACATAACAAGTTGAACACCTGCACAAGCGCTTGCGTCGGTCACAGAAACTGCCTGCTATTGCCATGTGTCCGACTCCTCGTCGAGGATACCATACTGCGACAGAAGTGTAGCACTGCCATCCTTGCAGAGGCATGGAACACGAGCATGCCGCTGACAGACTTTGGTGATGTGCTGTGCTTCCTCTGATACATGCAAAAACGAAACCTGGCCTTGGGAGGATGGTACGACACCAGCAGCTCATCACCAGCCTGGTTCTTCCAGAGTACGCTTCCGCGTAACATGAACTGGCGTGCTCTGCTGCCCCGATTTAGGCACCGACCAGAAGGTATGAACAAAGGTCGCGTTTTTTTTTTTTCTCTCTCTCTCTCTCTCTCTCTCTCATTCTGTCTGTCTGCTGCGAGAGTCGCAAACTGAGTCAGAACCCAAGCCTGAATAACCGAACCTGTAAAACGAGGGCGGTTCTCAGGATATCCCGGGAAGTTCGACGTGACGGCAAAGCTCCACCGCGCAATTATCCTCGGACCCGCAACTAACCGTGACCCAAAACTGAACCCTGAGCGTGGCCTTGATCGGTCTGCGTGTGGTGAATTTGAGCAGGTCACGCTCGCAGTAGTAGACCTCCAGGCGGTTTGGGGCTTCGGGTTTGGGGGCATTGAACTCCCGGAGTCGGGCTCGAGTGCTCAGGGCTCCCTAAATTAAGTATTCCAGGAAGATAGTCGGGAGCTCAAGACTCTCGCTAGGTCTGCCGCTGCACTCCTGACTAGCCTCGGGGGAGGGTCAGGGTTTGGGTGCAGAGGGCGTGGATATTGCCGTGCAAGGATACGGCTGAAACCAGTCGAGCAAGGCTTGATAGGCAGTACTCATAGCTGCCGGAGCGTGGCGCGATGGATTCAAAGGGGCATGCCGGAAACCCAATGAGTCGGCACATTGCTTCATGTTAGACAGTCTTCGCATAGTGCACCAGCGTGCCGCTGTATCGAAGATAAATCCTAAAGCCCTAAACGCTGAATCCTAAACCCAAAACAGAAAGCCCAATGCGCAAAAGATGTTCTGACTCGGAGGACTGTCCCCATGCCTGTAGGACCCAGTCCGAAACCTTACCTGTATAAGGGACGTTCTGAGGTGCATTTATAATGAAGGTTTCCTGATACATGTACATGTCATTGAAAGGGCAGGTTGTTTCGGCTGCAGACAGCATCTGGGCAGCGTCAAACTGCTGCAGTGACTCTGCAAGCGTGTAGCCATGGAAGCCGAGGAGCCACGTTGGGCGTCGATGAGTGGTTGACCATATCCTTGCTGCTTTGGCAGGGTTAGTATAGGGACCTGGATAATCACAGTGGGGTTTTGAGGCATGTTATACCTTACCTATAATTAGAGGCTAAACGGGAGTGGTGTTACTACTGATCATGATCATAATCATCACAACTGTAGTCATAATCATATTCACAAAAACAATGTTAATCAGTATTACTATTATTAGTGACATGTTGATTACTTAAAATGTGGCCTCTAGATGTCTGTCTATCCGGCCTATAGTATCCGAATTCTGTCTGTTGCCAAAGAGTCCTTGGCAGAAGCAGTATCACGGGATTTATCAGACGGACTTCCTGCATAACCACAACCTCCGGGAAAAAACTGTCGACGTCTGGTGGTTGCAGAAGTGCTTCAG